GTATAGATGATATGGGTGTTCGTTTCATATAGATTAAACATCTATTTATAATAATAAAAAAAAGAGTTAACAAGGACTTGACAAGTGTAGTGGAATCTCTGTCTACTATAGTGAGTTATCATGTCAAATAATCATTTATGTGTAGTCATTTCCAAGTTTGACTACGATTTGCAGGTTACTACAAGGACTTGTCATGTCAAACAATCATCTATGAATTCCAACTCTGATTACGAAATGGTTGCCTTTGGAATATGATTTGCAGATTACTAGGATGTATAAATACGACATATACAATTGTTTTCTTATTAAAAATACTATATATAATCTCAACTTTATTATGAGTTCATCCTCAAAGTTCGAAATTTGCTCATGCGATGTGCTCCATTGTCAGACGCCCTTACAGAACAATAGTTTCTCGTGTGTCCTGCTTGACCGCATGTAGAACACTCTTTTTTAATTAGACCCTCGCCTTGGGATGGAATGTGTTCTGTGTTTCTTGGCCTGCCTGCCTGGCGTTTATCCATTATAGGAGGCCTAAAAATCACCAAATCATCGGGGATATCCCATTCGGATGACTTTGGCAAAGGGTAAATTGATTCCTTATATGTTTTCCTTAATGTTTCGTTATGGTAAGCATTTAATGCATACATCGAGTAGTCTTGGTAATTGTTGACTGTTAGCGCTCTTATGACATGAGCATAAGGTATGCCGTCAAGTTGCCAATGCCTACATGTACATGTCATTTGTTGGAAATCAACAATGACGTTTTGTGTCCCCTTTTTGACCTCACATTTCTTACTTGAGATCTTGCGAACATCCCAATTATTAAAAGTATTTTTATTTTGTTTTACAATATCATCGGCCCAATGGATGAGTGTTGTTGTTACATCCGCTAAAAAATAGAGAAAATTACACAGTTAAGATCAATAAAATTTAACACAAACATTAATATTACAACTTACTACCTGCAAAGTTATGTCTTTGAAACCACCACTGTTGCATTGTTACATGAAAAAAGTCGATCAACATCAGTACCGACGCCTTACGTGCAACATCCCAAAATCGAGACCCAAAAAAAAATTTGTTTTAAAGTGTATTACGTGTAAAAATAGTTAACGGAAAACAACATTGAATTTCTTTCAAACATAAAGTCACAAATCACAAGTCTCAAAACCATATTAGCAAATAGTATAATATCAGAGTACAATCCCAAGTTTCTCAAATGCGGAATATCATGTGTGAATGTGTGATGCGCTGCTACCCCGCCTGCCCACCGGTCTATCTCACCCGAGTCAGGTCATTCTGGGGTGCCTGCCTGCCCACCGGTCTATCTCACCCGGTCACGGGGACTATTTCACCCCTACTACTATCACAGATAACATATCATAATCATGCTGTGACCTACCCTTCGGTCCTAACGACCGAATCGGGGGACTATTCCCCTCCTACTACCACTAACACACATAACATATCATACTGGCACATAGGACACATCAGATAGTAGCAAACCATACAATTACCACAAAGACAATCATCTCAACTATAATTAACTACTAGTGGGTCGGCCTTGGTGCCTTAGACCCACTTCTACTGGAAGGTAACTCACCTCGATGTCGTGCAGTGTCTGAACTGTCCTCGGTACGAGAATCAACTCGTCTCAACTCCTGAATTCCTTCACAACAATCTTTCTTGATTACTATCTCATGTTCATAACCCTCTTATAAAGGTCAACTCAAGTCCAAGTCAAAGTCAACATCTGATTGACTCGACTCGCCGAGTTGGTCCACCAACTTGCCGAGTCCCCATGTCCACCTACTGCCATAATCCGTCCTTACTTGTCGAGTCTAGCAAGAGCTCGACGAGTTTGCCTTCAACAATACATCTGACTATCTTCAACCGACTTTCCGAGTTCGTCCTTGAACTCGTCAAGTTCATCTTCATCCATATGAAGATGTTCAATCTATGACTCCTTGAACTCGTCGAGTCCATCTTCATGTGGTTGGGACATTGCCTTGAACTCGCCGAGTCTGCTCACCCACTCGCCGAGTCCTATGATTTCCAGGTCCATAACAACCCCTAACAAGTTGAGTGTTCCTTCCACTCAGCCAAAGACCATTTCCAGAAGACGTTTGGGGGAAAATGCAACCCGACTCGCCGAGTCACCCAAGCGACTTGTCGAGTCCCTCCTTGTCCAAAACTATACAGTCGATTATAATGGGTCTTAATGCACCAAAACCATAGATCTGGCCTCCTAGGGTCCATTTTATACGTAAAGCTACAAACTTGATGTCCATGCATGGGGCCTTTGGCTCAAAAAGCCATAAAAAGGGGTCTACAAGATACATGGGGTGCTTATGGCAACAAAGTTGACACCTTTATGCCATAAGGACCCCTAATAGTTCCAGATCTGAAGTGCAACCCCAAGCACACCCATAAAATCTGATTTTAGCTTCACTATGCTCATAAAAAGGGGTAGAAATAGCCCCAAATCAAAATCTAAGAGATAGATGGTCAAGGTTCCAGCTTTTTACCTTGAATGAGCTGAGAATTGAGTAAAACCTCTGGATCTTCTTGCTTCTACTTGAACTCCCAAGCTTCCTTCCTCCTTTCCAACTTCAAAAACACACAAAGGGTACCAACAAACTCAAGAACACACAATAATGGCTAGGGTTTCGAGTTAGGGTTTTCTCTGGGTTGGGAGGGACAATGGAGGCTAGTTTGTGGTGTTATAAGTTGTTTAAATAGGGTGCAAACCCAAATATTAGGGTTTCATCCAGACAGTCCTACTCGCCGAGTCAGTCTTCCGACTCATCGAGTAGGTCACTTAACCCCTCGATCAAAAGTCGAGTCTACTCGACGAGTTGGACCTCCAACTCGCCGAGTCCCAGAGCAAAACATGGAGTTACTTGAATTTAAATACGTACCAGGAACCGGGTGTTACATTACGTGCATGCCTAGATAATGCATTTATAGACTCCGCACCGTTGGACGAAATAATATTGTATCGGTTGCCTCTAAAATGTACCCTAGACCAAGTTCCAGGATTTATACTTTGTAAGTATTCCGATACTGGTTCTTTTATCTTTTTCATAAGATCCATGGCAACATTAAAACCATCAACTGTATAGGCTCTACAAGCCTCCAAAAAAATCCTTTAACCGTCTTACTCTTCCGGTATCTAGCTACTATGTTGAAATACAAATGGACACCACATGTTTCGTGATGAGCGTGAGGAAAAATGTTGGCAACATATATCGCTATAGATGGAGACCTATCAGATATAACTGTAAGCTCCTCCATATTGCCTATGCAATCACGTAGTTTTTGAAAAAACCATGTCCAAGAATATGCACACGCATTTTTGCATATACTATATGCAACCGATAATATTTGGTTTTGTCCATCCTTAGTAATTGCAAGTAACATGGTACCTTTGAACTCGCCCTTTAGGTGGACTCCATCTGCTACAAGGGTCGACTTACAACAATTGACAAAAACGTGTACATACAATACATTGTATATTTATTTAAATACACTGATTATAGTTAGGTACACCAAAATAAAAAAAATAATAAAATATAGTAATACTAACCGAGCAACCAAGTGCGAAATACAAGAACTCAAACCGATCATCACCATCTGTTTGAATATGTGTCACCGTGGCCGAATTATGTTTGACCAAATTGTGAAAATAAGTCGGAAGTTTGGTAAAAGAATCCTCTTCCGTACCCCTTAACAACAACAGTGCATATTGCTTCGCATGCCAAACCTAATAGTATGAGATATTGATTTTCAATTGAGCATCATATCATTACTAATATCTTGTCCCCGATATACTCTACTATAATCTTCAGCCAAAACATCAGCAAGATATTCACCCAAAACATGTTTGTTTGTCTATCGGTGATTAGGTTGCAACTCTGTTGAAGAACATGTGTGTACGTCAACAAATTTATTCACTTGAAAAAGTCTGCCATAATTTTTAATTCCTTTTGCTCTTAGTAACCAAGAACAACTTTTCCCAACACACACAACCTCATACCTTGATTTGGTCGATCTACTTGTCCCCGTTTGAAAACAATCCTAAAGACATTTTTTCCCAATTGCCCGTTTTAGAAGGTCTTTGTTCTTAAATATACAGAGACATTCAATCTTTTGATGATTGATGTCTACCATCTATGATGGGATATCTTTATTAACATCAATTGGACATGTTGGTAGAGGGGCATACTGTGAAAAAAATTATCGGGAAACTTAGCTTTACGTTCATCACCCAACTCATCTCCATTAGAATTGCTTTCTAAGTCGGTTATATCTAAAGCTGCATCAACAACATCAACAAAATCCCCGTAACCATGTACATTTTCATATTTCTTAACCATAACTTTTTTTTCTTTTTACTATTATTTAGTACACCCCTATTCATGACTTTAACTTCTTGTTGGGGAGCATTAACATAACGATTACCCACGTCATCTGCAATTTTAGTCAGAGATGGGGGTATTTATACATAAAAAATAAAAAAATCTAAAAAAAACCACCTGCGAACGTATAAGTCGCTAAAGCACAGACGTGTTTTAGCGACTTGTACATTCGCAGATGGAATGCTAAAATCGCAAATGGGTTTAATCCATACGCGATTTTCATGGCTATATTTGTAATTTGGGTTCTTTTTGGCTATTTTCCATAAAGTAACGGATTAGCCTATATTTGTAATTTTTTTCTCTAAATTTAATAGTTTAAAAACTTAATTAGTATGATTAAAATTTGAGAAATTAAATATCATCTTACTTTTTGTTCCTACAAATCCTTATATCTATTTGAATGATGACATGTATCACATTAATATATTAAAATATCATTAAATTTTATTAAATGAATATTAAATATTACACATGTTATCATTTAATTGGTTAGGAAGATATATAGAACAAAAATTAGAAAATCTAAAAATTTTGGTGGCTAAAGTGTACAAAATACTTTTACCGTAAGAAAACAAAATGAATACTCCTTTAAACTATCGGGAAGAGTATAGACCCGTTTCAAGAAAACCCGTAAGATATATTCGGATCCATACTCTTTCTTCCCCCTTTTAATCTTCTGCTAATTCTTCCCCCACACGCATCCTCCATAGCCGTCTCAGTTCTCCATTAGAAACACAGGTATCTAAACTCTCATACATTAATGCACGACAAGCCTCTATATTTTGACTAATAATCTCTTTATTTTTACTTATAATATGTTAAGATTGATTTAAAAAAAAAAGTTCTATACAGATTTGCCGTATGTAAGCACAAAGACAGTAATCGCATCTAATTTGCGTTGTATGTATAAATAGGTTGCCCTAATTATCTAAATCTTACTACGCCATACTGAAGCTGGATTAATTCAATTAAGTTCAAATAGAAATCAATAATCTTGTTTCTAGGGTTTGTGTCCTTCATGTAACAATGTAATTTTGACGCGATTAAGGTCAGGTATCGTGGAAATTGTGTAATTAGTGGTTTGGCTTTATTTATGAAGTGGTAAATAGTAAACAACTTTTCGTTTAGCTTGTTTTTGCAGTTAAACGTAGAGTTGCATCTGGTAACTTTGTTTGCTTCTATTTATATGCTCCATGAGTTTTACAGTCTTTGTTACTTTTATTGGGCATACACATAACAATCAGAAGTAGAACTATAAGAAACTTTGATGCTATATCAGCTACTTAAACAAGTTAATTGATGATTTGTGTTTTCTGTAGCAGCAGATTCTATTTGACATCATGTCTTGGTGCACCATTGAGTCTGATCCTGGTATGTTGTTCTTTTGGATTCTTGTTCTCCATATAAACAAGGCATGTGCCTTTCAAGGTTAATGCAGGCTGTTTAATAGAATTGTTGTCACTAATCCTTGAAAACCTAGAGACATGTTTGAACCATATTAATCTAAACATTTTGCAAATAATGGACTGAACTTGTTTCATACTCAAAATTACGTATCTGTTCCATTAATTTAAGCTTTGAAATTTAGTTAGTTGTAATCGAAACCATCATCTTCTTTTATAGGTGTTTTTACCGAACTAATACAACAAATGCAAGTAAAAGGCGTGCAGGTAATATTTGCAGTTATAAATGTCTATAAATAAAAAAACACAAACCGAATTAAATGGATTGTGCATGCAGGTTGAAGAGTTATATTCTTTAGATCTTGATTCTCTAAACAGTCTTAGGTACATCTTTCAAATTCATCCTAGTTTTATTCTTTGAATCATATTCTTCAAAAATCTCATATTTCTATCATTTCTTGAATTCACAGGCCGGTTTACGGGTTGATATTCCTATTTAAATGGCGTGCTGGTGAAAAAGATGAACGCCTCGTCATCAAAGATCCAAACCCTAATTTGTTTTTTGCTAGCCAGGTCAATACCAACATACCTACATTTTACTTACACATAATAGCAAGATCCTTTCAATTTCTATTATTGATAAAAGAAATATAATAACAACATTTTCCAGGTCATCAACAACGCATGCGCCACGCAAGCCATCCTTTCAATTCTGATGAACTGTCCAGATGTCGACATCGGGCCCGAATTATCCGCATTAAAAGACTTTTCAAAAAACTTTCCTCCGGAGCTCAAAGGGCTCGCGATCAACAACAGCGACGCCATCCGAACCGCTCACAACAGTTTCGCGAGGCCCGAACCGTTTATCCCGGACGAACAAAAATCCGCAGGAAAAGACGATGACGTGTACCATTTCATCAGCTACATTCCCGTGGACGGGGTTCTATACGAGCTTGATGGGCTGAAAGAAGGCCCAATAAGTTTGGGCCAGTGTTCGGGTGGCCAAGGTGACATGGACTGGCTGAAACTGGTGCAGCCCGTGATCCAGGAAAGGATTGAGAGGTATTCTCAGAGTGAGATACGGTTTAATTTGATGGCGATTATTAAGAACAGGAAGGAGATGTATACGGTTGAGTTGAAGGAGTTGCAGAGGAGGAGGGAGCGGTTGTTGCAGCAGCTGGCGGCGTTGCAGGCGGAGAGGGTGGTGGATGGTGGTAATGTGGAGGCGTTGAATAAGTCGTTGTTGGAAGTGAATGTTGGGATTGAAAGTGCGACTGAGAAGATTTTGGTGGAGGAGGAGAAGTTTAAGAAATGGAGGACAGAGAATATAAGGAGGAAGCATAATTATATTCCGTTTTTGTTTAATTTTTTGAAGATTCTCGCGGAGAAGAAGCAGTTGAGACCTTTGATTGAAAAAGCCAAACAGAAAACCAGTGGGCCCAGGTAAGTTTTTTAATGTTTTGGTAATTGTGTTTGAAAAAGGATGTTTTAATTTTAGGGAACAAGTGCTGTTTGGATTATGGTATGGAGTTTGAGGATGATGTTGAATTATTAGTGGTTTATTTAACTTTTTTGTTTCATTTTGTTTTGCTATAATTGGATGTTTGTTTAGTTTGCATATTATCTAAAACGTGAAACGTGGAAACGCAAGTAGAAAATGTATGGAAGGGGCCACGAGTGCAAATTGTTAATAATGTTCTTTACGGGGCCAAAGTTGTTTATTTTAGATAAAATTTAACGATTGTCTTTGTGGTTTGTAAAATTTACCACGCTGGTCATCATGGTTTCATTTTTTGTTGCATGATTGGTACGTGTGTATGGTGCTTTTGATCTGCTATTTGGTATTTGGAAAAGTTAAAAAACTTCAAAAAACACAATAGAAAAGAAACTTGTATTTACTTATAAACTTGAGATCCTTTATATCTTCGGATAGAAAATATAGACATTATAAACTTACATAGGACAAATTACATACTATCGTTCTGCATTATACGACTATATACATTATACATTGAACGACTATATTATTGGTTGACAGACTACTATTCATACACTATATCACAAATACTCATTTTAACAACCTACTCACATCATCATACACTTTTAATGACATGTTTTACAAATGACTTGACATTTGATTGGCAAGATGTTTTTATTCGTTCCCTTTGGATTATCTACAACAAAATTGAAGGTCTTCTAGCCAGCACAACCTTCTTCTCCATCCTCCCACCTAGCCTTGGTCTTCATGAAATCACCGGCGAAGATGGAGATGAAGAAAAGGACAAAGATCTAACTTAACGTAAATCTAACATATTTTTAAAATTTGGGATCGATCTAGCAGTTTTGTTTGGGAAATGTCCGGTGGTTTTAGAAAAAGGTCTAACAAAAATGCTTTTGGATCAATAAATGGTCAAAGGATTAATTTAACAAAAGATCCATAACAAGAATGGTAAAAGTATCTTTTTACATACACTTAAGAGCTTAATAGTAACGGTGTTAAACAAAACGATCAACCATGCAATAAAATTAAACCATGAGAACCAACCATATATCATATTTAATAGTTGTCCTCAAAGTGATATCGTTCACAAACATGTACTAATCGTGAAATTGTCTTTATGTTATGACCTTACTAAGAACCCAACCTATCATGTATTTTTAAGTTTTGGCATCTTATTAAACACGTGTTATCTAACTCCTCTATTATTGTTGCATAAAGTTATTAACTTGATAAGATACTCATAAAGAAAATTCAATGTTGAACTTTGATGCTAAATATAGTGATCAAATATTGGAAAATTCAAAGATTTCTGTGTTATGTCCTATTATTATTATTATTATTATCATTATTATTATTATTATTAGAATTAGCATTTATTGTAAAATAAGCTAGAAAGGTTGATGTTTAACTTGTAAATATTTTGTAGGAAAAAAACTAAAGGGATATCATTGATGTGATGGGCCTCCATATTGAAAGGCCGAAAGGGTAAAGAAAAGGAGAGAAGGAAATTTTGAAAGGAATTTTTGCATCGGGGAGCAAGTGGGTAAAGACAACAAGGAAAGCATTTACATTATACACAAGTTTTTGGAAAGATTGGAGATTGAAAGATAAAAAGCAAAGAGGAAGATTCTCCGACAACTAGTTTAATTTCATCTCCCTTTTTGTTCTTTTTATCACTTCAATAATCATGTATTGGAATATTTTATGGATTAGGTGTCTTTCAAAAGATCATGAGTTAATTTTATATTGTTAAAATATTTTGAACTTTAAAAATAGTAGGTGAAGTTGTTATGAATATATGATGCATTTTGTATTGAATTATATGTTAGAAATAGAGTATATTAAAAAGAAAATTCAGAAACCAAATAAAAAAGGACGTGATGAAATCATTATCCTTAAAGAATATTAGCTCCCACTAGTTAGTTGATGGGCTTATAAATTGTAGGTGATGATCCTACACATTCTTCTCGTTTATATGGTTTTGAACATTTATGTGACAATATGAAGAATATAGAACTTTTTTCTCAAGTGAAATGAAGACAAGCATCATGTATTTTAGCATTAAATACCAAACAATTGCAACTTTTCATGAATAGACAATGATTAGAGAATAACCAACATAACTGCGAGTTCAATTTTCCTTTTAAAAATAACTGAATTAAGTGTTAACAATTAATTGTTAACAAGTTAGGAGAAAAGTTGTTGATGAACCGATGACTAAATTTCATTATAGAAAATAATTCATGAGCATCTTTAAAAAGTTATATTCTCTCCTAAAAGTAAAAATTAGAATTAAACTAAAAAAAAAAAATCAAAAGATATGCCACATAAAACTCTATAATCACATAAACTATTTTGAATCGAAATTCATATTTACAATAATTTGAAGTGAACGTTAAATAATACTAAACAATTTAATAAGAACTAAATAAAGAAAACAATATGGAAAAGAAATGAAAAAGTCATAAAATATTAAATACTTTTATCCAACCGCGGGTTTAGATGTCTTCCGGGCCACCACTTGATTTTTTGTCATAGTATAATTTTTTTTTTCTATGAAGGTGTATCCACTAAAAAAAATATACACCTACTAGTGTAAAGCGTTTTTTGTTTTTTTAAACAAAAATTTATGAAGTCTGTGGACCATCTCTGCAACCCTCTGCAGCAGAAGAGGTGGACCAAATAACTGCACACTGTAATAAGAAGCGTGTTTGTTTTTTTAACATCTGCATGCTGCTGTAAATATTTAAAAAATAAAATAAACTGATTTATATAACAAAAATAGTTTTTTAATACCAAAAAGTTAATAATGTATGACATTTCAGCAAGAATTTATGATATTTCAACAAAAAAATAATGTTATTTCAACAAAAAAAATAATGATATTTCAACAAGAAATTATCATTATTCAATATAAAAAAACGAAAAAGATCATTTAGCAAGAATAAACAAAAAAAAAGCAGAAACGAAAAAAAAGAAGGTAAAACATGAATTCAATAAGATTTCAACAACATATAATCAAGGTTTATCAAGATTTCAGCAAGAAAAAAAGAAAAAGAGGTTGGAAGAGACAATACAAGTGTTGCCCAAACAGAACCCGTACAAATGTTTTTTACTCCTAAGATGCAACTACAACAAAAATTCATGTGTCCGACCACACCTTTTACCAATACAAACTAAAAAAATCATATTTATACAATGACTCATAGTCATATACAATTATAATAACTTATAATCATATATAATTCAATTTATATCAATAATACACATAAAATATAGACGCTTTATAACTAAACTTTTAACATTAGATTTGGGGGGTTTAACATGATATTTTAATTATATGATATAATATTCTTTTAAATAGTTGATTTATTATATACTATTTAATAAAATATAGACTTATTTTATACAATAAAATACATCCAACACCCTCAAATTTTATATAGTCAAATAATTTGTTATCCACTAATAATCATTTTCTAGAACAAACATAAAACACGAAACTTTATTTTGAAACAAGCATGCAAAAAGAAGTTATAAAGCAAAAATTGAAAAGATACACATATCATGTTATCAGTTTTATTGATGTAAGAAAAGTTTGAATGTAATATAAGTCTAAAATCATATTATTAAAAACAATATAAATATTTCAATACTATATAAATATATAATTAAGTATTATAAATACAAAACCTCTTGAGTTGTAAGACCATCTCCAACCCACTTTCATTTTTTCTCCAAAAAATGAAATAAAAAATAGGGTAAATAGTTTTTCATCTCAAACCATACTCAATTTTTTACCCTTTTTTTACCCACAAAAAAAATATTCTATTCTTCCAACTTATATAAATTGTCAAACACACTCCTTCTATTTATTTGCTTTTAACAAATATATAATCTATATTTTTTCATTACAATAATATTAAATAAATAAGATTATATTTATAACATTTAATTATAAGCTTTTGTAAAATACGTTATCATGTTTTAAAATTTCAATATGTACTTAAAATTTAATATGAATTTGATAAACAAAAAAACAAACTTTATATTTATAATTAATTAATATAATTTAATATATAACACAATATTATAAGTATTAAATATTACACTTTACAAAACACGTGCGTCAGAAGAGCTGAAAAATGTGTGAGCTACGGTAGGAGGGATCTCAACGGTAGTAAATGGAGGGGTGAGTGTGTTTTTGCCGAGGATAAAAAGAGAAGACTGTGTTTTGTAATATTTTATTTTATTTTTTTAAAAAATGAACAAGTGAAATGGTGTTTTCTTTCTTTCTTTGGAATTATAGTGATCGGAAAAGATGACCAAAAATTTGATATTGGCTGGAAAAATGATCGGAAGGTTGTTTTTTAAACAACAAATGTTAGTTTAATAGTATTTCTTAAACAGGTAAACCGGCTAGACCTACAATAACAACAATTAAAATTATGTTAACAAATATAAGTTTAATAGTAAGTTGTCATAAAAAAAAAGTAACTAAATGTGTAATAGTAATAGAAAACCTTTGTTTTTCAAAATAAAACATAAAAGTAAAGATAAAAATGGTTGAAGCATCCAAAAGTTTTGTTATTATCAAGTCTCTCGAGCAACATAACATCGTCGATAACAGTACAAGAACCATAGAAAAAACGTTTTAAAAATATCTACAGACTCCTAAGATGTTATTAAAAAACACACACAAAAGGTGCAACCATCTGATCTGGTCAACTCCAGCAGCTTTTCTTATAAATGATGATATGCATTTTCTTTCTTAGTAGCCACCCTGTATGAATGCATTCAGACGGTTGAGCTCCTCCCTGTGTTCACTCACCACAGCACGCACCACATCCCCAATCGACACCATCCCCAGCATCTCCTTCTCACTAATCACCGGAATGTGTCTGATACGATTATCTGCCAAATACCCAAAACAAAAATCAATTAATTTTTCTTGACTTAATACATACACACATAACAGATATACCTGTCATTAGCTGCATTGCTTTCAGAACTTTGGTATCTGGAGTTACTGTGATAAGTTTGTTCTGCAACCATAAACATGTTTTAGTAAATCTGGATGAACCGATTAATTGGATATGTAGTGTGAAAAATAATTACTATCTACATATACCTCTTCAGTCATGATATCTCCGACCTTGGTTGACTTTGAAGATCTTCCCTGAACAATGATTTTCCTCAGATAATCTGAAAATAAAACCTGTTATTATTAAAACAAGAAAGAGATAATAAAGTTGTGAGCATAGTATTAATTGGGGTCACCTCTTTCTGTAATAATTCCAGCAATGGATGATTGCTCCCCAGGTTTCACCACAACCAACGCACCAACATTGTGTTGTGTCATCTGCAATTAATATATACATGTTTTCAATTCAACCATTGATATTTGTGTGTGTGTGTGTGTGTGTGTGTGAAATGAAAGAGTGGCATACCGATTTGACAGCATCATAAACAGAATCATCAGTGGTGCACCAGAGCCATGAGCCATCAGCACCTTTTCCTTTTCCTTTCAAGATGTCTGAAATGGTGGTGCTTTCAAAGCCATGTTCTTCCATACGAGGAGCAGCTGAAGTTGACTCATGGCGTGACAACATAAGTGATTGAAGGGGGTTCACCTTAACCACACGAACATGTTGGAGGACTGCTTGTTTCACAAGGCTTCCATGTGACACCAATGATCTGATTCCTCCTTGCATATCCTCTTTTTAACTATCATCACAAAAAACATAAAAAACAATCTTTTAGCTAAAAGTCAAATGTGATATTAAATGTTTTAGCTACAACATCTGTGATGTGTCACTATACCCATTAATATATAGACCAAGAAAACTAAAACAACTGAGCTCAGGTGCACTTCGAATGGTCATTTTGTTTTGAAAAGTCCGATGGTCAAATCACTTTCAATAGTCCTTCCACCCAATTTGAACACTAGTTAAATAATAACAAACAGTAGGATGATAGTAGCCTCAACGATAATCAAATTGTTTTGAATCTTTCTAATTAAAATGATTCCATGCCTGATGCCCATGAGTATTGCGATGTTTGACCAAACAGTTTTGACTATCAAAGTGATGTCGCAAATACCTTTCACGACAGAGTAAGAGGATTAGAGGAATATGTTTGACCAAAACTGACGCTATATCAACAAATCTATAATGATTATGAACAAAGAAGCAAGTTTAGCTTCAGATTTGACTATTTTAAGATACATACGGAATTTGTTGCGATTTTCATGGCACAAAAAGAAAGTGCTTATTAAGCATACTTTTCAGAACAAATAAATGAATGAAAAAATCGTACGACTTCCAAGGATTTATATTTACTCATTCTGTTGATGCTAGCTAATCATACATCCATACGTTTTTGTACAAATTTTCCAATTAGATTCAGCTTCTTCTAAACATATCTTCTTAATCTTCTTTAATCCAATCAAATAAAACCAGAGATACTTGAGTTTTAAATTAAGATAGATCCGTCTTCATCAGCTCTTGAAGATCTATGTTTCACAGATACTTGAATACAACCCTAAAATTAATGGACTA